AATTTTATTGTTTTTTGAAAAACATATGCCCATTTTGAATTTGATGGCAGCAACACATTCCAAAAAAGTTGGGACAGGGGCATGTTTACCACTGTCGTGTATCACCGCTTCTTGTAAGCGTTTGGGAACTGAGGAGACACTGCTGTAGTTTTGAAAGTGAAATGTTTTCCTATTTTTACTTGATATAGGATTTCAGCTGCTCAACAGTTCAGGGTCTTTTTTGTCATATTTCTCGTTTCATAAAGTGCCATATGTTTTCAGTGGGTGACAGATCTGGACTGCAGACAGGTCAGTTTAGCCCCCTTACTCTTTTACTACAGAGCCATGTTGCTATAACGCTGCTGTAGAATGTGGTTTTACATTGGCTGGCTGAAATAAACATGGCCTTCCCTGAACAAAGACGTTGTCTGAATGGCAGCATATGTTGCCAAAACCTGTATATATTATTCAGCATTAATGGTGCACTATAAAATAAGATGTTAATACTCATATTAATGTTTGATAGATTTTGATAAACTTATGAAAAATCAAGCGTTTTTTCAGGTTGATACAATATTACAGTACATTTTTACACTCTCTAGAAAAATTTTGTCTCTGTAGAAACACTATAGATCTACAAAATGTAACAAAATTGTTGGTGAAATGTGGATATACTCATGAGGGCCACTGTATACATAAAGGCAAGGAGCCATTCTGTATGACACTGGAAATCAACTTGATACAAGTAAATCCTAGAGAGCATACAGAAATATCTATGGCTCAAGGATAAAAATTTGAGTGCCACATTGGTAAGATATAAGTTTTAGTTATAAGTTTTGGTTGTTACGTTGTTACTGTAATTTTCATTATTTCCACAAGAGACACATCATTTGATTATCTGTAATTTTCAGATACTAGCCTACTAGGTATAGGGTTACGTTATGCATAATGGAGGTAACACATTTAGTCTACTTCATGTGATGTATCAATAATACTACATAAATTTACTTAATGTAAGTAATGTATCAACAGTATACGGGGTGCCCCAAAAAAATTGACATAATTTCGTAGTCTAATAACATAGCCAATTCTCCCTCAAATGATCTCAAATTTTAACAAAATGTGTAAAAACTAACGAAGTTTAATTTTAATGTTTAATGTAATGCTGTTGAAATGGTCACCATGTTCACCTGACTTGACACCATGTGATCTATGGGGCTATGTGAAAGGACTGGTCTAAATCCTACAAGCCTGGAGGAACTCAAGCAGAGAATCACTACTGCGCTGGAGACTGTTACGCAACACATGCTACAGCGTGTTTGGCAGGAGCTGGACTACCGACGTGTGTCGTGTCACAGGCGGTGCGCGTATTGAACATTTGTGAAGCTTGGTGAAATCGGTTATAAAATCTACTTCCCTCTGAATTTCTTGTTCAAATTTTGATAAATAAATCTTGTGTTGTTCAACATGAAGCCTATTTAATTTCCTTTGCCTAGGACATGTAGTTACTCAGATATTCACATCTCAAATGATGTCAATTTTTTTGGGACACCCTGTATATCTTCAAGATATTTACCTCAATATATTCAGATCCTCACTACTGCTACTTCACTGATATGCTGTTGATGTGTTACTGACACTCTGTTAAGAGTTTATTAGAGTTTATTAAACATCTACAAATAAACTATTTATATTTATTTAAAATTATATGACAATGATAGATCAAATTGGGGGGTGGTACCCTCCACCACCGCGTTGCCAGACTAACATGCTATGCAGTGTGCTACTGAAGGGGATAATGGCAGTGCTAACTAAAGACTTAAAAGGATGACCCAAACTAACAGCTCCCCAAAACTGAAACCAAAAAAGTCCTTCTTTAATCTCACACTCACCTCTTCTCTAAACACGGAGAGTGAGACACACTGAAGAGATTTTTTCACATTTACGCTGGAGAACAATTTGTGACAAGCAAAGACTTGGAACTTGAGATGGATACCAAGGTTACTGGCTGAGTCAAAGCAACTTGCGTGTAGCAGCGTAAACTGAAAGCTGAGCGCCGAACAGCATGTGAGCACCCCTTAAGTAGGGTGCCCACAGCTGATACCGCTCAGCCCTAATTACTCAGTCCTGGCTCTTTGACCCCTCCTAGTGGCCGGACGTGGCCTAGCAGGTTGCCTGGACGTTACAGTACCCCTCCTCCTAGGAATGGCTCCCAAACCAGCCTCTTGGTCCCTCCTGAAGGTTCTAATGAGCTCTGGGTCCAAGACGTGCCTGGCTGGTGCCCAGCATCGCTCTTCCCGCCCATACCCAGTCTACTAGATACTGGGTTCTACCCTATATTTGACAGGAATCTAGTAACCATCATACAATAAAAGCCAGGGGCCTGGCAATTATCCGTGGTGGTGGAGGGACAGGTGCAGAGTTCAGGGGGCTACAAGGACTGTTTTTTTTTGCCCTGAAACGTGGAATGTTGGGTTTATCTGCATAGTTTGGGGGAGAAGGAGCTGATAAGACACCGGATTCACCCGTTTTACCACTTTGAAAGGTCCCATGTATCACGGGGCGACTTTCCGGGACTTCACTCTCAATGGTAGATCTCTAGTGGAGAGCCAAACTCACTGCCCAGGATGGTGCGAGGGACCTAAGCGCCATTTCCAGTTTGCAGTCCTCTATTGCACTGCTACGGCCTTCTGCAGTGCAACACGGGCTTTCTTCCAAGAGCGCCGACACTGCCTAACATAGTCACGGGCTGCGGGGACCTCAATATCGGCCTCCTGTCCTGGGAACATGGGCAGTGTACCCAAACTGGTACTCGAATGGGGACATGCCCAGAGAGGAGTGCCAAAGAGACTTATGGGCCCAGAACAGGTGCTCAGACCACGCAGAGGGTTGTGAATAGGCCAAGCACCTGAAGGTACATCTGAGGTCCTGATTTACTCTTTCAGTCTGCCCACTGGACTGAGGATGGAAGTCTGATGACAGACTAACAGAGGGCCCAATTATTTGACAAAATGCTCTCCAGAAACGACTAGAGAACTTCGGTCCACGGTTGGAAACGATGTCTGAAAGGGAAACCATGGACCCTTACCAGGTGTTGTAACAACAACGTGGCAGTCTCTCTAGTCAAGGGCAGCTTTGGCAGGGTGATGAACTTGTAGGCCTTGAGAAGCAATCTTCTATGACCATAGTCACTGTTTTACACTGGGACACTAGCAACCCTGTGATAAAGTCTATGGAGATCCCCGCCCAAGGCTGCAAGGGTGTGGGCAAAGGCTGGAGCAAGCCTGCTGGTGGGGTCCTAGGCTCCATGTTCTGTGCACACACTTGGCAGGCTGCTACACAGCCATGTACGTCCCTCTTCATGTTAGGCCAACAGAAACATCTTTTTAATAACTCCAGGGTGCGGGTCTCCCCCAGGTGACCTGGAAAAGGGGAAGAATGACCCCACTGGAGGACCTGAGGCTATAACTAATGAAGGGACATATTGTCTGCCCATGATCCTACCCCCAGGTTCCGGTTCAGTCCGAAGTGCATCCTGGATGGCGGTTTACAGCCCCCAGCATACTGAGGCGATGATTTGGGCCTCCAGAGTGATTGGCTCTAGACAGCGGTTGGCAGATGGTGTTGACCACTGTCTGGAGAGCATGTCAGGCTTGATGTTCTTTGAGCCTCATTGGTAAAAAGAACAAAATCATACCGGCTGAAAAAACATCACCCATCTAGCCTGATGGGGGTTAAGCTGTCTGGCCTGTTGGATATAGGTCAGGTTCTTGTGGTCTGTCCAGACCAGGAAGGTATGTTTGGTGCCCTCCAGCCAGTGTCTCCACTCGTCCAGGGCCAACTTCACCACTAGCAACTCATGATACCCGACATTGTAGTTGTGCAGTGGGAATAAAACATGCAGGGGTGGAGTTTATCATCCCTGGAGCGCTGAGATAAGGCTGCCCCTACACCTACATCAGAACCATCAACCTCTACTATAAACGATATGGTGGGGTTGGGGAGTCGCAGTACTGGAGCACAGGTCAAGAGACACTTGAGTTCATCAAAAGTCTTCTAGGCTTCCGAGGTCCACAGAAAACACCCAGTTCCCTTCTCGGTGAAGGATGTTAGTGGGGTGACTATCATACTAAAATTCCATATGAACCTAAAGAAAAAGTTGGCGAAGCCCAAAAAGCTTTGAACTAGGTGAACAGAAGTGGGGCTGGGCCATTTGGTGATGGCCTGAACTTTGCATGAAAGAAATACAGCTGGAGTGTCCATTAACCAAAATGGCATTATGAGGTACTTGTAATGGCCAGACGGCATGATGCAAGCTGTCTTTCACTCATCTCCCTGGCGAACTTGAATTAGATGATAGGCACTGCGCAGGTCCAACTTAATGAAGAAATTCTAGAAATTTGTGCTATGCCCCCAAAGGACACGTTGTGTAGGTGATACTTAAAGATCATTTTGGTTGTACTTTAGTAGCAGCCATCTAGTGGTAGCTTAATATGTAGCAGCCTTTTTAAATGAATTGCCCTTAAAATATATTCACTGTTGTCCACATCAAAAGTCTTTTAAAGTAATTAAATAGTGTGGGTTCAGATAAAATGGGTTCAAGTGTTCAGGTAATTTGGGACATACAGGGTTATTTTAATTAGCAAAGTTTTAAGTATGTGAGTCAAGAAACTGAAGTTGGTGTGACAGAAAGACTTAACCTATCCTGTGGTGTTAACATGCTAGACTTGCTTGCTAGAGACATGCTAGAAAGTCCACTTTTTAGCAGCACATTTAGAAGTACTAGTGATTTATGTTACCCTGGAAACTAATATTTCAGTTAATGCTCTGATGCATCTCATCTGGAAAAGCATGAATTGCTCCAAAGTGACAGAGCACCTTGCTGCCATTGCTGTTCAGAATCATTAATATCATGTGAGCAAATAATTTAAACCATGTATAAATACTGGCCATTTGATCAACAGGAGTTCTGCAACCTGTTGAGGAAAAACATAGCACTAATAAAAGATTAATACATTAATCAGCAGTACAGATGACTGGTCAAATAAATTACCACTCTGGTGAGTTACGAAATTTTGTATATTTTGTATGCAGTTTACATCTTTATGTTTTTATAAAATTCAGTTTGTTTGATTAATATTTAGTTGTTTAAAATATTTGTTTTTGTTGCAGGCGTAGAGCATTCTCTCTCAGAGCTAAGGATTGTGCTGCTGGGATGCAGAAATGCTGGGAAGAGTTCAGCAGGAAACACCATCCTGAACAGAGAGGAGTTTGAGTTAAAGAGAACTGCTCAGTGTGTGAAGAGACAGAGAGAAGTAGCAGGGAGACACATCACTGTGGTTGAAGCTCCAGGATGGTGGAACAGCACACCTGTAGAGGAGAGCACTGAGTTACTGAAACAGGAGATTGTACTCAGTGTGTCTCTGTGTCCTCCAGGACCTCACTGTCTGCTACTAGTCATATCTACTGCTATAGCATTCAAAAAGAGACATCGAGAGGTTTTAGAGGGATATCTTAAGCTTCTTGGCGATACAGTTTGGAAGAACACTATAGTGCTGTTCACCTGTGGTGATTTTCTTTTAGACACACCCATAGAGCAGCACATTGAGAGTGGAGGGAAGGAGCTCCAAGAGCTGGTTGAGAAATGTGGGAACAGGTATCATGTTCTCAACAGTAAGATCTTGAACAGTGAAGGCACAAAGCTGCTGGACAAGATAAAGGAGATGGTAGCAGCAAACAGTGGATGCTATTTTGACATAGGCAGAAGGATTTTACATGAAGTGGAAGAGGAGAGGAGAGCAGAGGAAGAGAGAACAATAAAGCAAATGATGAAGCACCAGAAACAGAAAGAGCACGTCAGATCATGGATGGGTGAGTGTTTTTATTAAATTAAATCTGAATCTGACTAGGATCGAATTGTAGAAGCAGTGTTCATTCTATAATTTGCTCTTTAGGTTTCCATTGCCAGAGTATCATATTATAACTTATAGAAAAACTCCAATTTGGCCCTTCTGACAAATTTACACGATCAGAAGCAATTTTTCAGGTTAAGGGCTCAGTCAGAAGCAGTTTACAATAAAGATAAACTCATAGTGTGAGAGAGCAAACAAGCCAATTTTAGCCTCCTGTTTGAGCTCCCAGTTCGGGGCAGCCAACTCTCATGCGTTGACTGTGAGATTTAGGTCTAATCTCATGCTCTCATGCCACACTTAACATTTCTCATGCATTTTTACATCTCTCCTGAAAACAACCTACTGATGAACCTGAACGCTCATAAAGTGTTACGATGTCAACACAGATCAGACACTCACAGATAAAAGGACAAGGCTGAAGTTTACTTGAGGTTTTGGTGAAGGTACAAAGGGCGAAGTCAGAACAGGCTTGGGTCAGAACCAGAGAGCAAGAGAACCAAAACAAACGGTACATCCAGAGAGTAACCAAAACCAGTCCAAGTTCAAAAACCAAAATGTCATACAATATCCAGCAAACAATTCAAAAAGGGCAAGTCAGAAATACAGAAAACAGGTCATACACAAAAGAACTTACATAAACAAAGAATGCTCAGTACGCAACGAAAGGTGCTGGCAATACTTCGCAAATTACTAAGCTAAAGCCCGGGCTTTATATACTATCTGACTAATGAAGTGTAATGAAAAATAGGGGTGACAGTTTAGAATTCTGGTGAGGAGGAACGCTGAAATGAATGTTCATTGGTTGATAGCGGTGGAATAAGAGTCATGTGGTCTCCCAATGATTCATGGGAGTTGGAGTCCTCTGGGCCGTTCAAGGACTCAAGTGATCTGAGGGAAAAGGAACAGGTGGAGGAGTCGTCCTTGGCAGGAGGCGTGACATAAAGCTTTCTGCTTCTGCTCAGCGCTCCAGCTTTAGAAACACTGTGGCTGGGTAGTGGCAGTTTACTTTAAAGCCACTGAAAGAGAGCACTGTCACAATGAAAACTTAGTAACACATAATAACATTCTGATCTGCCCTCAGGGAATGTTTAAATTTTAGAACCAACGAATATCAGCACACAAATAATACCCAGTTAAGCCATCCTTGAAAGATCAATTAAATCCTTAAACCAGATTTTATTTAACAATACAAACATTTAACCAATTTTAATTTCAAATATTGACCAATATATGCAAAAATAAAACATTATATTTATATTGAACTCATTTATTGTTATGGAAAAGTGTTGTCTAGTTAACGAATAACTACCACTCTGTGCTGTTTGCTAAAATGAAGCTTTAAAACCCAACAATTCACACCATCACTTGGAGACTAAACACAGTGAATAGGTGTCTAAACCTGTCAAATTGAAAGAGAGCTCCTCAGCTTTCATCTCATCAGCCTGACATCCAGCACTTGTTAGCTGCCAAATGAGCCTTCTCATCAGAAAAAAGATCTGATTACTTAAATCTGTGGAAGTTTTTGTGGTTATTTGTGTGGGCCACAAGTCACAAAAGACTGAGACCAGGCTCGAGTACTATAACACTAGTATCTAAGAGAAGAAAATGCCTGATGGGATTGTGTGATAGAAAGTGTCCCAGGCCAGGGTGAGGGTTAGGATTAGGTTTTGGGTTGAGGTTAAGGTTAAGGTTAGTTTTAGGATTAGGGCTAGGGTGTGGTTTAGGATTAGGCTTTGGGTTGAGGTTAATCTTAGGTTTAGGATTAGGACCTAGGTGACAGTTAGGATCAGGTTTTGGTTGAGGTTAAGGTTAGGGTTAGGATTAGGGCCAGGGTTAGGGTTAGGTTTTGGGTAAGGTTGGGTAAAGTTAGGTTTTGAGTAATGGAAATACCTTATAAAATCTACTTCATGTAACATATCAACAATAGATCTACTTAATGTCAGTAATGCACCAACAATACATCTTCAAGATATTTACTTCAATATATTTAGATGCTGCACTACACTCTACTTTATTGATGTGTTACTGATACTACGTTTAGAGTTTATTAATCATCTACAAAGAACCACTCAAAATAAGGTGTTAACTCAAGCTAATTTCAGTTTATTTGGAGTCAAGAGATTCCCCCTGCAATTTTTGGTATAAAAGGAAGAGCAGTAACTTTTATTGTTTTTTTACTCACTGTCCCATGAAGGAATCTCAGGCCATTTCAGGCACTTGGTAAACACATCCATAGAGCAAAACATTAATATTGAAGGGAAGGAGCTTCAGTGGCTGGGTGAGAAATACAGATACAGGCATCATGTTCTCAACAATGAGAACAGGAGTGATGACACTCAGGTCACAGAGCTGCTGGAGAAGATAGAGGAGATGGTGGCAGCAAACAGTGGACGCCATTTTGAAATGGACAGAAAGATTCTTCAGGGGGTGGAAGAGAAAAGGAGAGCAGAGGAAGAGAGAGCAAAAGAGAGGATGATGAAGGTGCAGAAACACAGAGAAGACCTCAGATCACACATGTGTAAGTCATGGATATATTCCGTATTTTGTGGTCTGACACAGTTAAACACAAGTGTAATGCACATCACTCTTTGTGCTTTTTTTTAAATTGAAATAAGTGGAGAATGGAGGATTTTTCTCAGGAGGTCAGTTTTAGTCAATCACCCTGATCAGCAATCTGACCTTAATGTCCAAGTGTGCTAAATGTCTTGAACCAAATAGTTTCAGATAACTGTTATATTTCCCAAAATAAGTCGCACACATCCCTGTTCAATAGGAACATCTAGTGGTAGTTCAGTACCTATGGTAAGTGGACAAACTTTTTATTACTGGGCTGTGTGTGTGGACTTTTGGGATTCTTTGAACTGAGTCATTTTTATCCCCACTGTATTATTCACAGACAGTGCAGAGGCCAGGGCAATAAGTCAGCATGTTCCTCACTGTACATGTGTGGAGTTTTACTAAATTTGTATTAAAATTAAAACATTCAGTGATTCATTGAAAATGATTAGATTATATATATCTTCCCAATGTTTTCTTGTTCATTAAATAAATAAATATATTTCTCAGTTATATTTTTACTCTGGATATTTTACTCCTACAGGTGATGCCCTCCATCTTTCAGATCTGAGGATTGTGCTGCTAGGGTACATATATTCTGGGAAGAGTTCAGTAGGAAACATCATCCTGAACAGAGAGGAGTTTGAGTTAAAGAGAACTGCTCGGTGTGTGAAGAGACAGAGAGAAGTAGCAGGGAGACACATCACTGTGATTGAAGCTCCAGGATGGTTTTGGAATGAACTTGTTGATGAGAGCACTGAGTTACTGAAACAGGAGATTGTACTCAGTGTGTCTCTCTGTCCTCCAGGACCTCATGCTGTACTGCTGATTATACGTGTAGACACTGTGAATACAAAAGCCAATAGAAAAATATTAGATGGATATTTGGAACTTCTCACTGATACAGTGTGGAGTCACACTATAGTGTTGTTCACTTTTGGAGATTGGCTGGGAGACACACCCATAGAGCAGCACATTGAGAGTGAAGTGAAGGAGCTCCAGTGGCTGGTTGAGAAATGTGGGAACAGATATCATGTTCTCAACAATGAGAACAGGAGTGATGACACTCAGGTCACAGAGCTGCTGGAAAAGATAGAGGAGATGGTGGCAGCAAACAGTGGACGCCATTTTGAAGTAGACAGAAAGATTCTACAGGAGGTGGAAGAGAAGAGGAGAGCAGAGGAAGAGAGAGCTAAAGAGAGGATGATGAAGGTGCAGAAGCAGAGAAAAGAACTTAGATCACACACGTGTAAGTCATTTCAGTTATATTTTCAGCATTTTGTTTCCTTTCATGGTAAAAATGTATGTTAGTTTTGTGTGCGATCTTTAAATTTAGTCTGGAGGTCAACACTTTACCAGTGAGCCACAGCAAGACCTAAGCAAAGATCTGCAATGTATTTGCAGGTGATTAAAGGGGTCAAGCACCTATTTGGCAGTTGGTTTCCAATTTTAAATTACTGATGTGGTCTTACTTAATGATTAAATAAAATATCAGTATATTATTTTTTTTTAATAACAGATAAAGTTTCAGGGTACAAGTACCATATTACTTGTTTGTGTGACCTTCACAAAAATACCTCAGCTCAGATTCAAGCCTAGAACATTTAATCTGCAGGCAATTTTAGAGACAGATTAAATGTAGGTGGCAATAAGGGGTAAGCATCATTTTATGAAGTAATTCTCAACTATCCATTATTGTTGCATGCCTCCCACTGACATAATCAATTTCTACTATGCATATTCATGTGTTAAACAAAACTGGCCCTAGATTGAGCACTGTATAAGGCAGATTCAAACCAAATTTTGCATGTTTCCACAGTTTATCATTCTCAGTGTTATCATTTATCAATGTCCCAATTTGATCACAATCAGCCCGTTAAGTCAGAATGACTTAAACAATCAGCACTGATTGATTCACTTGCTGCAGACATAATGTGCAAAAAGTCCATGTTTTGATGACTATTTACTTTGATTCTCTACAGATTGTTAAACCAATTTTGATACAATCCAATGAAAATCCTAGGACTACATTGAAAATGGTATTTTGCAAACGTAAGAATTGCAGAAAAAAAACATTTAAAAACATAACTTGTTTTCATAAATACAATAGTAAGGTTTCTTGTGTAGATAAAATGCCAATGTCTGCTGAAATCAGACTAACTCATGGTAGCGATTCTTTTTTCCAATTATTAAGTGTTCCTTAACACGCCACATATAAAATGCTTCATAAGTGCTGGGCTAGTCTAGTAAAATGTAAAACTTTACAACATTTATAACTCCAAAGAAATAAATGTTACATTGTTCTTCAATGCTAACTCAGATAGATGTAGCCCCAATTACTGCATCTCTACAACCGATTAGATGTTTCAATGTCTTCTGTTGCCTGATTGTTTTTTAAGGGTGCTAAGATCCTTAAAAAGTGACTTTGATTTTAGAACACATTTCCTTTTCTTATCACCTCTCCCCTCCTTCCTTCCTTACTTACCCTTTTCTTTTTACAATCAGTCAACATAAATGTATCCTTTGTTGTCATGATACATACAAGTTCTTGTCTCAAAGGGACGTCTAAATAATGCTGGCTGTGTGTAGTCTTTTGAGATTCTTTGGGCTTTCTTGTGCCACCTCTGATAAAGGCCTTGCATGAATAGTAAAGAAATCCCAATACTGAACCAGACCATTTTCATCCTCACTGTCGAACTGTTAAGTCAAAAAGAATTGCTACAGTAGAAGCCAGTGTAAATCCAAAGTGGGTGGACTGACTTTCCTTAGCCTCAAAAAGAAAGGCACCTTTTTACTCACATTTTTGTCCTGCTACAAGCACATGAGTGTCTTGTTTAGGCAAAAGAGTTTGTCTATGTGCCTTCCTGCAAGAAAGTTGTTACACACCAGGTGGCTCTCTCTTCATGAGGCACAAATCCACAATTTTCTAGTGGTTAGACTGACACATTAAAGAATAAAGCCTAGGTGGACACTAAAGGGTGGCCTCTAGTGCAGAGCAATAAAGGCACAAGATGAAGGAGATAACTCAAAGGCACACGAAGGAGTGAGTATTAGAGAGAAAATTCATACTTAAGAGGAAAAGGAGAGTGCAACAAACAAAGAAAGTAACTAGCCAAAGGGGGGAACAAACTCTCAAGCTTGTGCTAAACACCATGCCACCAGAGACACCAGTGATAACACCGACCGAAGAGTTTACCAAAGGTTCTCTAGCCTGTTTTTCAGCGTGAAACGTGATCATCGGATTTATCTGCATGAACTGGGGAAAGAGCAGCTGGTGGGACACTGGATTCATCCGCTGTCTGATGGGAAACCATGGACCCTCTCCATGTGTTGCAATAACAACATGATGGTATCTTTAGCCGAGGGGAGTTTTGGTTGTTCAATGAATTTACAGGCCTTGGAGAAATGATCTACCACAACCATGGTAACCTTGGGAAATGGGCAAGCTGGTGATATAGTCCAGGGAGATCACCCCCCATGGCCCCAGTGGTATTGGCAGTGGCCAGAGCAAACTTTCTGGCGAGGTTCTGGACTCCTTTTCTGTGCACAAACATGGCAGGCTGCTACATAGCCATGTACATCCTGCGTCATGTTAGGCCACCAGAACCGTCTCTTCAGTAACTCCAGTGTGACTGTTCTTTTCAGGTGACTCATGAAAGAGGATAAGTATCCCCCCCTAATAGCAAGAGGAAAGTGCTACTGTTGGCCCGCTGATGGCAAAGCTGGCAGTCCACTGGCATTTTGCTCAGCATTTTCTGGGCAGCCCCAGCAGTGGTTAAGCAGAGTATTAGACAAAATTCCACTCATCATTGCTCATTTTCCATGCACAGTCCAATTTATTTATTTTTCCTTTCCTTTCATAAGTAAGTATACTTTGTAAATTAGTTTAGTAAATAATTTAAATCTAGCACAATGTCAGCAATAATATTTTCTATAAGTTTTATAAACATGTTGGGCTCCCAGGATGATTGGCTCTGGGGAGGAGTTAGTGAAGGCTGTTTTCCACTGCCTGGAGAGTGTGGTTGGCTGCATGTTCTTAGAACCGGTGGGTAAGAGAGGACAAAATCAAATCGGCTAAAGAATCGTGCCCACCTGGCCTGACGGGGATTTAATTGTTTGGCCTGTTGGATGTAGGTCAGGTTCTTGTGGTCTGTCCAGACTAGGAAGGGGTGTTTAGTGCCCTCCAGCCACCCCACCTGAACTTTGTAGTTGCGTTCAGGTGGGGTAAGCCAATGGGAGTAGAATGAACAGGGGTGGGGCGTATGATCGTCAGTGGACCGTTAACATAAAACTGCCTGTGATGAGGCAAACGCATTGCCCATCACCAGAGACTGTATGTGTATGTGTGTGTGTTTGTAATATTTACCTGAATACTCACCTGTTGTCTGTTTCCTAGCAGAGGCAGTAAAAGGGAGGCAGAGCAGATGGTGCTCACTCATGAGCATGCTGGGGGGTCCACGGCTAGCTCATGGGAGGGGTGATGTTTTCTACATGGGTCACAGAAAACAGAGTGAGACAGGTTAATAAATGTGCGCACTGTAATTAAACATCTTTACCGGTAATATAATTTGTTATGGCCTTATGAAATTGACTGTGATTATATTTACCTTTGTTTTAATCCACTCCTATAGGACAGCAACACCCCTGCAGAGTGAGATGGTTTAGCTCAGGTGATGCAGGGGCGGGGCTAAGCCTATAAGAGGTAGGGGAATGGTTCAGTGAGGGAGGCTAGCTCGAGAATGCTCACCTCAGATTGAGAGGAAGCTGAGGGAAAGGGAGTAGAGCCAAGCTAAAAGTATAGTTCTATGGCCTTGCGGCCTAAGACTAAGTATTACCTTACCTGTACTGCTATTGAGTCGGGACAACATTTTAACCACCGTTTATTTTGGGTTTGTACAGTTTTTCTTTTGTATGTCTTCACTTCGTAAATAAATCACTCACCGTTTGCAAAGAACTACCCAGAGTCGGTGACTTTGTGTATCCTCATGGAATTCGGCGAAGCAATGTCACACTGCCCCTATGCCTATGTCAGATGTGTCGACTTCCACAATAAATAGCACCATGGGATCAGGGAGCCACAGTACGTGGGCAGTAGACAAGAGAAGCTTGAGTTTTTCAAAAGCCTTTTGGGCTTTCAGGGTCCATAAAAAGGACCCAGTGCCCTTTTTTGTCAGGGCAGTTAGCAGGGTGGCTACCATGCTGAAATTCTGCATAAATCTACGGAAAAAACGGATGAAGCTCAGAAAGTTTTGGACCATCATCTAAAGAGACGAACACATGGAAACACTGGAAGACAGCTGGGGCGTTCATCAACCTGAATGGGGGTGCCAGGGAGGAGCTTAGTTGCACGATCTTAAGACTTGTGCAGAGGTAGGACTTGGGCCTTGCCCTTACTTAAAACCTCTGACAGGTGATGATATACCTAGGAGACTTTAGACAGATTGGGACATACTGAGGAGGTCTTAATTGGATTTGTTGTTGGTGCAAGAAGCTTAATGCAAGACACCTTACATTGAGGGCCCCAGCCCCCTACTGAACAGGTCAGTCAGTCCGGTTGTGGATTGTGATGTTGCAGCCAGGGGAGCCCTAGGACTAGCTGCAACTCTGGCGCTCCGATGAGTGAAAACAAGGTCAACTCAGTATGCTGACCAAGCCGAAGGGTGACCTGCTTGCTCTGCTGGGTAACCTGCCCCAACCCCAAAGGATAACCATCGATAGCATATGGAGACTGTTTCTCTAAGCTAATTAGAGGTAGATTCAGGGTCTTAACCAGGGAGATGTCAATAAAATTACTGGCAGTCTCTGAATCGACAAATGCTTGGAGCCTTCTTTTGGAGCCTTGTGCCCACAATAGGGTCACCATGAGGAAAAAAATCTGAACATCTGGGGAGGTTGTACTAGGTCTGTTACAGATTCCCCTTTCTGCAACAGAAAGGAGAATCTGTAGTAGACACTGCCCCTCTCGCATACAAGCCTCTAGCTCTTGTCAAAAAAAGGCAGGTACCCCCTAGCTGCATAGGTTGCTTGGGTGACTCGGAAGACACAGGGGACAGGAGCGGTTCAGGAGTGTTCAGAGGTGGGGTCCTACCACAAAGACATCTAGACTCCCGTTCCCACAGATGGCTGTCTAACTTAAATGCCTGTTCTTTGTTCTCTGGCACATCTCGGGTGACCAAATCATCTTTCAATTCATTGAAATTCATGCTGAAACGTAGCCTTTAGGGCCTTATCCTACCACCCACTCTCAGTGGCCAGGGTGTATTCTGCTAATGATCACTTACCGTTATGGGGTGAAGGAGATGAGAACCAGCCATGCCTCCACAGATGCATGGCAGCCATAAACAGCTCTAAGGAGGAACATGTGGTGGTCTTGTTCTCCAACAGAGGAGTAGCCCAGGCGAGGGCTTGATCTGTGAATATTGAGATGACAAAAGGTACTTTACAGTGCTCAGTGGGGAATCTTGAGGGCTTCTGCTCAAAATCTAGGGTGCATTGAAGGAGAAACCCCCTACAACACCCAGGTTCCCAATTAAGCTGCTTAGGGGAGGACAAGCTAGTTTCAGCTCCGTGACTTGAATGTCAGGCTGATGAAACATTGGGAGGGGGGTAACTGGTTGGGCTCCCAGCAGGCGTGCCTGGACATTGCAGAAGTCCTAGCTCTTAGGTGTCTTACCATTGTCAGAGATTAAGGCTGATTTTGTTGGATTAATTATAAATAATGTTATGAGAAAGGCTAAATGTCCACTTTGCTCTAATCTTCATCTATCATTTTTCTTACAGCTTCAATTGGTTCAAATCTATTGCAAACATGAAGCCATGTGGTGCTTTGAGCTGTTGCAGTTTAATAAAGGTATATTTTAATATGGCAGTGTGTATTAAAACAGTGAAAGTGAATGTGCTGCCCTTAGATACTGTATCAGTGAAGAATTGAAAATTTTCTTCTTCTGCAGGTGACACCTACCATCTCTCAGAGCTGAGGATCGTGCTGCTGGGGTGCAGATATGCTGGCAAGAGCTCGGTAGGAAACACCATCCTAAAGAGAGAGGAGTTTGAGTTAAAGACAACTGCTCAGTGTGTGAAGAGACAGGGAGACGTTGCAGGGAGACACATCACTGTGGTTGAAGCTCCAGGATGGTGGATTAATAGACCTGTAGAGGAGAGCGCTGAGTTACTGAAACAGGAGATTGTGCTCTGTGTGTCTCTCTGTCCTCCAGGCCCGAATGCTGTACTACTGACCATACGTGTGGACACAATGTTTAATAGGAATGGGAGAAAAATAATAGAAGGATACTTAAAACTTTTCACTGAGAGAGTGTGGCATCACACTCTAGTGTTGTTCACCTTTGGAGACTTTCTGTTAGACACACCCATAGAACAGTACATTGAGAGTGAAGTGAAGGAGCTCCAGTGGCTGGTTGAGAAATGTGGGAACAGGTATCATGTTCTCAACAATGAGAACAGGAGTGATGACACTCAGGTCACAGAGCTGCTGGAGAAGATAGAGGAGATGGTGGCAGCAAACAGTGGATGCCATTTTGAATTGGATAGAACTGTTCTACTTGATTTGGTAAATAAAAGGGCAGCAGAAAAAAGGAGAGCAAAAGAAAGGATGATGAAGGTGCAAAACAAAAGAGAAGACCTTAGATCACACATGTGTAAGTATTTTACAAAAAATGAAGCATGCTTTCTGTCACAGTCAGGGGTTTAGTGTAATACACATTAAATGGAGGATTTTTCTCATGTAGCCATGTTCAGTCATCCTGATTACCAGTCTGAAGAGATAAAGTGATGAGTTTAAAGTGATGAGTTATTGATCAAAGGTCATCATCAGTCAGTTTTGCTTTTGTTAGATTAAAAGTTGCCATCAGAAATAGAGCCAGTGGTGGCTGGATGTCCATTAGTTTGCAAGGGTAATCTTAATCTCATAAGAATGTGTCTGAATACTTGTTAAACTTTTGGTGCTGATTGTGGTGACATCTGCCACAAACATACATGCCCTCTAAAACCCACCCCTAAATTCCTTTATTCTGTCCTTTTTAATGTTCAGTGTAGAATCGATAACACAAACAAACAAGCTAGTTGGATTGCTAATGTCAGTTATTCTTTTTTTAACCACATGTAATGTGTTCTCTGCAAATCTGACCCTCATCTACATACTTAATTTGTGGATGAATTAGGGATTTTTCAGCCATGCTGGCTTACATTACATCCATGGGCTAATGACATTCTTATTTAATGGGCAATATTGGTGAGCGCGCCAATACCTCCTACTTTACGAGGTGTTGGATTGGTTAGAAATTTCATACTCAGACTCACACTCCCACCTTAATCTATGTTCCTACCCAAATTTATTAGTTCATGGTGGAATTTTAGCTTCAGTATCTTGACTGACTGTGTTACAGTTTCAGCCAGAATTTGATGATATTTAGTGAAACTGTGCCACTGGCTGCCACACAACCCAAAAGCATAAAAGATCAATCCACAGCACTTGTTTCAAAAATGTCCCTGACTTATCTACCTGTCTAAATACCATTGGGTTAGACAAACAAGATCTTGCTGCCGCATTTTTCAAGAGAAATAAGGAGTTTTCAGAAAGTAAAAAGTGCAGTATGATGTCATACAAAGCTCTGTTTTAGAGTATTTAGTAGACTCTCAAATACAAAATCTGTAAACACAGTGTTGCTTTTCACCAACAAACATGTCTGCCCAGAATCAGAGAATCAGAATACAAAGTGGCATGTTGTGTCAAGACATGCTGAGGCAAACCCACACTATCACATTGAGCTCCTCTAAGAAAGGGTCATAAATTTAACATCATCATCATCAGTCCATCAACATCATTAGTCCAGCTAGGGTCGCGGTAGCAGTTGGGAGAGCAGAGAATCCCAGACGACCCTGTCCCCCGCAACTTCCTCCAGCTCATTCCCGGGGACCCCAAGCCGCTCCCAGGCCAACCTGGAGATATAATCCCTCCAGCGCATACCCGGGGTCTTGTCCAGGGGGCATCCGGATCAGATGCCCGAACCACCTCAGCTGGCTCCTCTCAATGCGGAGGAGTAGCGGCTCTACTCCGAGCTCCTCCCGGATGGCCGAGCTCCTCACCCTATCAAATAGAGTGTAGCCCGCCACCTTGCGAAGAAAGCTCATTTCCGCCGCTTGTATTCGCGTTCTCATTCTTTCGGTCATTACCCATAGCTTATGACCATAGGTGAGGGTCGGGATGTAGACCGACCGGTAAACCCTCTTCACCACTACAGTCCGGTACAGCGACCACATTACTGCTGCCCAGTCTGCGGTCGATTTCACGATCCCTCTTCCCATCACTCATGAACAAGACCCCGAGATACTTAAACTCCTCCACCTGGGGCAAGTCCTGTGTGTGGCATGCCATCCTTTTTCAGGCTAAGACCATGGACTCAGACTTGTAGGTGCTGATCCACATACCAACTGCTTCACACTAAGCTGCAAACTGCTCCAGTGCGCGCTGGAGGCATCCATGTGATCCAGCCAAAAGAACAACATCATCTGCAAATAGCAGAGACGCCACCCTCTGGCCTCCACACATAATGCCCTCCTGACCACGGCTACGCCTTGACACCCTGTCCATGAATATCACGAACAGGAGTGGAGACAGGGCACAACCCTGGCAGAGTCCAACGCTAACACTGAAAGAGTCCGACTTAATGGCGAGTATACGAACACAGCTCTCACTCCGGGAGTACAGAGATTGAATGGCCCCGAGTAGCAGCCCCGGCACCCCATACTCCCGGAGGACCTCCCACAAGATATCTCAGGGAACACAGTCGTAAGCCTTCTCCAAATACACAAAACACTTGTAGACTGGGTTGGCAAATTCCCATGCCCACTCAACAATCCGTGAGAGGGTGAAAAGCTGGTCCATTGTTCCACGGCCGGGACGGAATCTGCATTGTTCCTCCTCAATCCGAGGTTCAACTATCGGTCGAAGTCTCCTTTCTAGCACCTTGGCATACACTTTCCCAGGGAGGCTGAGCAGTGTGATACCCCGATAGTTGGCACACACCCTCCAGTCCCCTTTCTTAAAAATAGGGACCACCACCCAGGTCTGCCAGTCCAAGGGTACTGTTCCCGAGGTCCATGCAATATTGCAGAGGTGTGCCAGCCACGACAGCCCCACAATATCCAGAGCCTTAAGCATCTCCGGACGAATCTCATCCACCCCCGGTGCCTGCCAACTACCTCAGTGATCTCCACCAGGGAAATGGAGCTTGACACGCCAGAAATCTCTGGCCCTGACTCCCGTGAGGGAGGCAAGTCTCCCGGATTAAGGAGTTCCTCAAAGTGCTCCTTCCACCGACCAACAATATCCTCATTTGAAGTCAGAGTTTCTCCACCCCTGCCAAATACAGCTTGGGCGCAGCCGCCCCGACTGCTTCTGAGTCGCCAGACAGTCGTCCAGAACCTCCTTGAGGCCGACCGAAAGTCTTTTTCCTGGCTTCTCTAAACTCCTCCCACGCCCTGGATTTTGCTTCTGCCACCGTTGCGGCTGCCACCTTTTTTGCCTGTCGGTACCTATCTGCTGAGTCGGGAGTCCTTCAGGCCATCCAGTCCCTAAAGGCCTCTTTCTTCAGCTTGACGGCCTCCCTCACCCCTGGTGTCCACCAGGGGGTTCTTGGGTTACCGCCCTGACAGGCACCAACAAGCTTTTGGCCACAGCTACGCCCGGCAGCTTCCACAATGGAGGTGTTGAACAGGGTCCATTCAGACTCCATGTCCCCTACCTCCTCTGGGACATGAGAAAAGCTCTCCCCGAGGTGGGAGTTAAAATCTTTCCGAACAGGAGCCTCCGACAGTCGTCCCTAGCACACCCTCACTATTCGCTTGGGCTTACCGGGTCTGACCATCGGTCTTCCCTGCCATCTGATCCAACTCACCACCAGATGGTGATCAGTTGACAGCTCAGCACCTCTCTTCACCTGAGTGTCCAGAACATATGGTCCCAAGTCAGATGAAACGACAACAAAGTTGGTCATTGTCCTATGACCCAAGGAGCTCTGGTACCATGTACACTTATGAACATCCTTGTGTTCGAACTTGGTGTTCATTATGGACAATCCATGTCTGGCACAGAAGTCCAATAACAATTCACCATTCGGGTTTAGATTGGGCAGGCCGTTCTTCCCAATCACGCCTCTCCAGGTCTCCCAGTCATTGCCAACATGAGCATTAAAGTCTCCCAGTAAGACTATGGAGTCTGTGGGCGGGACCCTTTCCAGAACCCCGCCCACTTGCTCCAAGAAGGCCGAATTTAAATTTAACATGGACAGTGTATATCACTTGCATTCTCCTGATTTAAGCCTAATTGAGCATGCACTGAGCCAACAAAAACTAAAAGATGCTGCCATAAAGGCTTAAGCATTCCAGATGAAGTAATCAGGAGTCTGGTTACCTCTGTGGGCCTGAGGTGTTTGTAGCAAGTAAAGGGTTTGGGACCAAAACTAATTTTAGCTTTTCTTGTATGGTTTTTGTTTTTTTAGAAAAAAAAAAGACTTTCTAAGCTTTAGTCTCATTCTCATGTTTTGGTCTGGAATACAAAATTTATGAACCTACTAAACAGATAACATTTCTAAATAAAATTTCACATCACTGCCCCACTGTTTGCTTCTTACTATAAGTGCAGTGGTTTTGAAGACATCCATTTATATAATTTAAAATGATTAGCAGACTCCTTTTCCAATTATCAAATGTTTTTGCATTTATTGATAATACACTATAGCAAATTATTCATAATAAAACACATTGTGATGATTCTCCATGTAATTATTGTAATGTGAAAAAATTACTGATTATGATTAAAAAGAGTCCTGTTTTCTTTTGGGGAACTTTCTCTCCTGCAGGTCACTCACACTGTCTCTCAGAGCTAAGGATTGTGCTGCTGGGGTACAGAAACGCTGGGAAGAGTTCAGCAGGAAACACCATCCTGAACAGAGAGGAGTTTGAGTTAAAGAGAACTGCTCAGTGTGTGAAGAGACAGAGAGAAGTAGCAGGGAGACACATCACTGTGATTGAAGCTCCAGGATGGTGGAAGAATGAACCTGTGGAGGAGAACACTGAGTTACTGAAACAGGAGATTGTGCTCAGTGTGTCTCTGTGTCCTCCAGGACCTCACGCTATACTACTGACCCTACGTGTGGATACCATATTTAAAGAGAGGGAGAGAACAGTATTAGAAGGGCACTTAAAGCATCTCACTGAGAGTGAATGGAGTTATACTATTCTGCTGTTCACCTTTGGAGACTGTCTGGGAGACAAAACCATAGAGCAACACATTGAGAGTGAAGGTAAGGATCTCCAGTGGCTGGTTGAGAAATGTGGGAACAGGTATCATGTTCTTAACAATGAGAACAGGAGTGATGACACTCAGGTCACAGAGCTGCTGGAGAAGATAGAGGAGATGGTGGCAGCAAACAGTGGATGCCATTTTGAAATGGACAGACAGATTCTACAGGAGGTGGAAGAGGAGAACAGAGAAGACCTTAGATCACATGCGTGTAAGTCATCTCATGAATAAATTCAGTGTTTGGTTAACTTTCACAGTTAGAATATGAATGTGATGTACATCAGTGTGAAGAGTAAAATTCTTGAATGTAATCAAGAGGAGAATTGTTGTCGTTTTTCAGGAGGCCAGTTTCAGACAGACATCCTGATCAGCAGTCTGAACTTACTATCCAAGTGCATGTCTGTAAAGTCATACACTATATTGCCAAAAGTATTCACTCACCCATCCAAATCATTGAATTCAGGTGTTCCAATCACTTCCATGGCCACAGGTGTATAAAACCAAGCACCTAGGCATGCAGACTGCTTCTACAAACATTTGTGAAAGAATGGGTCGCTCTCAGGAGCTCAGTGAATTCCAGCATGGTACCGTGATAGGATGCCACCTGTGCAACAAGCCCAGTTGTGAAATTTCCTCGCTACTCAATATTCCACAGTCAACTGTCAGTGGTATTATAACAAAGTGGAAGCGTTTGGGAACAACAGCAACTCAGCCACGAAGTGGTAGGCCACGTAAAATGACAGAGCGGGGTAGGCGGATGCTGAGGCGCATAGTGCACAGAGGTCGCCAACTTTCTGCAGAGTCAATCGCTACAGACCTCCACACTTCATGTGGAGGTCTGTAGGAGGTCTGATGCTGAGGCGCATAGTGCGCAGAGGTCGCCAACTTTCTGCAGAGTCAGTCGCTACAGACCTCCACACTTCATGTGGCCTTCAGATTAGCTGAAGAACAGTGCATAGAGAGCTTCATGGAATGGGTTTCCATGGCTGAGCAGCTGCATCAAACCCTTACATCACCAAGCGCAATGCAAAGCGTTGAATGCATTGGTGTAAAGCGCCGCCACCGGACTCTAGAGCAGTGGAGATGTGTTCTCTGGAGTGACGAATCATGCTTCTCCATCTGGCAATCCGATGGAGGAGTCTGGGTTTGGCAGTTGCCAGGAGAACAGTACTTGTCTGACTGCATTGTGCTATGTGTAAAGTTTGGTGGAGGGGGGATTATGGTGTGCGTTGTTTTTCAGGAGTTGGGCTCGGCTCCTTAGTTCCAGTGAAAGGAACTCTTAATGCTTCAGCAGACCAAGAGATATTGGCAATTTCATGATCACAACTTTGTGGGAACAGTTTGGGGATGGCCCCTTCCTGTTCCAACATGACTGCGCACCAGTGCACAAAGCACGGTCCATAAACACATGAATGAGCGAGTTTGGTGTGGAAGAACTTGAATGGACTGCACAGAGTCCTGACCTCAACCTGATGGAACACCTTTGGGATGAATTAGAGCGGAGACTGCGAGCCAGGCCTTCATGTCCAACGTCAGTGTCTGACCTCACAAATGCGCTTCTGGAAGAATGGTCAAAAATTCTCATAAACACACTCCTAACCCTTGTGGAAAGCCTTCCCAGAAGAGTTGAAGCTGTTATAGCTGCAAAGGGTGGGCCGACATTAGATTAAACCCTATGGATTAAGAATAAGATTTCACTCAAGTTCATATGCGTGTGAAGGCAGACAAGCGAATACTTTTGGCAATATAGTGTATGTCCTGAATCAAACAGTTTCGATGACTAGCCTTCATTATTCCCAAGTCAAGTAACAGCCAATTTCTTTTAAACATCTGAGTATTTTGATCTTTCCTTCATGAAATGTTTAAGAATTCATTCAATTACATCAACCTGTTATTTTTATTATAGAAACACATAATTCACACTTGTCTCAAAAGAAAGTCTGGTCATAGGTCATTAGATATGGCATGATATACAGTATATACAGTGCAGAATATACAGTAAATACACCAGACTACATATACAGAACAATAAATGAACAGAACAATAAATATACATGACAAATACACCGACACTTTTATAGGACAGCAAAACAATATGCATCAATTGCAGTCCCATAGTAGCATGGAAAGATTTAGATTTAAAGAACTTTAAGTGCAGGTGTGCAGTGATGGTTAAGGGGTGTGTGATCAGTCTATGTCAGTGCATTCTGTAGTCTGACTGTCTTGGGAATGAAGTTGTTGGAGAGTCTGGTTGTGGTTGAACGGATGCTATGGTTCTGTCTGCCAGATGGCAGGAGGGTGCAGAGTCAAAGAGGGGGGCGAAAGGAGTCATCTACAATTCTGGTGGCCTTGTGGATGCAGTGCTTGTGGTAGGAGGTATTGATGGTGGGTAAAGACACTTCAGTGAACTTCTTAGCTGTCTTCACAGTCTGCTGTAGGGCCCTGTGGGACAAGATGGTGCAGCTCTCATACCAGACAGTGCTCCCTTGTAGAATGCAGTGAGGATGGAAGGGGGAGGTTTGTTCTCTTCATCCTCTGCACCAGTCTGCCAGCCAATCCACCTCCTCCCTGCATACTGATTTTTCATTGTTGCTAACAAGACCCACCACTGTACATTAATCAGCACACTTGATAATGTGATTTGAGCTTTGATTTGCAGTACTGTCATGAGTCAGCTGTGTGAATAGCAGGGAACTGAGCACCCCCTGTCTTATACAGCCACATCAATGTTTGCAGTTTTTGCAGAACTGCAGCTGAGGGCAATGGATGGGTTAGACCCAGCCTTAGATTTTATGGCAGGCCCCTTTGTTACATTACAGATTCTAGAGATAACTAACTAACTAACAAGTTAATTTATTAATTCAGCGAAATACACAGAAGGAGCACCTCCAAATGAGGCAGACATAGCAAAGAAAAGATTATTACCTCCACTTCTAATTTAAATAAGATAACAACATCACACAAAGAGACTGCCTGGGAGACATATTTGTTCAAATGTTTGAAGAAGGTTTCACACGTTTTGCTGGAGTAGTAGGGGAGCATGACCCCATTACCTACATGTAAATGTGAAGGATTTATAGCCATGCAACCACTTTCTGACACTGAAGTTTAGGGACATCCTTCTTCTGTACCATCAGGAGCCATAAAAGAATAGTGGCTGGCAGAGAAAAGGAAATGTTATGACCTGGGCCCGAAAGGTACAATACAATACAGGGCTTTATGCATGTTATAGTATATGCCTGTTCATTTGAGCCAGGACACTGTATTCTGTATTAGAGAATGAATGCCTGTCTGTGGTATGGGCTTTAGAAAAATGGCAGTCATATTTAGATGGCACTCATTTTGCAGTGATTATCAACCATTCTGCATTTGCTTGGGTGTTTATTCATCCAAATCTCCTCTTCAGACTCAACAGATGGGATATCTGTGTACAAGGTTTTGACTTTTCTATAGAAAGTTATCTATAGAAAAGTATGTAATGTAGCTCCAGGTGCTGTCCAGATGCTCTCTCCCAAAGCTACTTGGATAAAATTATCACTGGAAAAATTGCTGAGTGCAGATGAACCCTGGTAATAGTGATGTTCCTGTGATCTGGACACTCAGAAAAAGGACACTGAGATGAAAAAGCAGAGAGCGAAAATGTGAATTTTACCATGCAAAATGGGTACTTATTTTGTTTAGTGCTTAAGGTGAATGTGGTTTATAATTTCCAACTTGTGATCCCTAGCAAATTTAGGGAGGTTTTTTGCTCTGTCAAGTTGTGTGGACCACAGCAATCCACATCAAGGATATATCCTGGTTCCCACAGGGAGGTACCTTTTAGAACTTGTATATGTGCTTAATGTGGATATCATAGGTTCATTCACTAATGCCCAAAACAGAACAAATATGTGTTGGTGGTAATGGACTATTGCAGCAAATGGATTTAACTTTTTCTTTTCCAAGCACCCAAGGTAACAGAACTAATATACTGATTAAGGATATTTTCACCCAATGGAGTATGCCTGCCTATTTGGTCCATGGGGTACAGTTCATTTCTCACCTTCTTCACAAAGTCTGCATGCAGCAGGATGTTGTTTGCTTATCATAGACAACTTTGCCCAAATGTTTCAACAGGAATTTGAAACTTATGATTTCTTTCTTTGTGCATGACACAGAAAGTCTGTCTCTGTGGATTGCTGGGCAGAGCTAACCATTTACCCCCACAGTTATTGACTCCCTGGACTTGCTGTTCTTGGAGTCATGAGTCATTGAACAGAATCTTACTCACTCCAGGAGAAAAGGAAGCATTTACCAACTGGACCTGGGTTAGTGTGAGTTGTGCTGTGGTTGTGGGATAACTCACTAGGCTGTTGGGTTAGCTAGGCTAGCTGTGAGGGAGCATACCTGCATACCTCAGGGTTTTTTCTTATGGAGACCTTGGACATTGACAGCAAGTTCACTCTCAGCTTGAATATACAGCACTGTACAGTGATCTTTGTACAGTGCACCTGATGAAGACTTTGCCAGTAGATCACATATAATCACTTACCCTGATGCAAACTATACTCTTATCTACAGCTGTGATTTATCACATCATATAAAGAATACTTACACACATTATATGTGTGTATAATCTTTTCTCTGATACAGTGAAGGCATTTCCTGGAGACAGTGTGAGTTCTTCATTGGTAGAAGGCTCTAGATCAGCACTGGCACAGTACCCTTTCATAGAACATGTGAGTGCAGTGAGTTCAATTCTGTAGCCTGAAGGGGTCAGTTACTTAATTGTTTTTCATGGAATCTTTGATCTTTGAGTAAATATTTTTTACTCTTTCAGTTTTTATTGTTTTGCTTTTTTATTGTTCTGCTTTTGAGCAGCTGTCCTTAGGTGCTGAAGGATTTATTCCTGAAATGGTTGACAATGATTCAGAGAACAAGAAACCTTACCTTACCTGTTTGTTGGATGGTTTAGGACAGATGCAGTTGGCAGGACCTCTGTACAATGTTGACTGCTTTGAAGGTTCAATCAGTCATCTGTACCTCCCACATTGTGAGATACTTTCTGGTCAGTTCAATTTTACCAAATAATTGTTTTTGTTGATTATTTTAGTAAGAATTTAAAAATGCAAAATTCCATGTCAATTCATGAATGAACTATAATCTTCTTCTGATTTTTCATACGTTACAGAGGGAAATCAGGATAGGCTGGCTGTGGCACATTTCACTGATGACAATGTAGAGATCATTGAACCACTAAAAGTGACAAACACACATGTAATCATTGCCATCCAAGGCCTTTCCTTGTTTGGCCTCCTCACCAAGATATTTTCTGCCAGACCCATCTGTGCCCAAGTGCTACTCTTCTACAAACTAATACCTTGTAGGCAAAATTTAAGAGAACTGCATATTCATTTGTTGCCAGGGAACGTGCCACTCAGAGAGGTAATTCAACTTA